ATGTAAAGTAGTGAGTGCAGCAAGTAAATTTGCTGTCCCCTCAAAATAACACAGCTATTAAGTCTAAACCGCTGGCAACAAAAGTGAGTACATCCCTAAGTGAAAATGTCCAATTGGGCCCAATTAGCCATTTTTGTCCTCCCCGGTTCATGTGACTCCTTATGTTACAAGGTTTTATGAATTATGTGTGGATCTCCGGATAATAGACCATTTTCCTGTAATTAAAGTTGAACTTTGAGAGCGATCAATTAGTGAAGTTATTGTTGGTACTAAAGAAAAACAAAACAAAACAGCGCTAGGCTTAGAAATAGATACAGCAAATAAACCTTGAGTCTTATAAACTTACACTTACTCATTTGGCAGACGCTTTTATCCAAAGCGACATTTGATTGTATTATAGAGTTTAGGTAGATGGGTGCAGACCCAGTCATCACTTTGTATGCAAGCAACATACTGAAAAACTAGTGCACAACAACTTCATCTTCGTCTGGACTCTTCTGTGTTTTAGGAAATGTTTGTACATAATGGTGGGAAGTGCGCAGAGACATTAGCTGACCCCGCCCATAATGCACCTAACTATCAAGTGTTTTTACTAATCCAGCCCCTTGTAGTTCAACTGTGCCATCACCTTTGGTCACAAAATGACCAGTAAATCTGCTGGGATATCGTTCATTTGTTTTCTCACTCTGTAGTTTAACAAACTTGTAACCCATTCCCAATATAATTTTGTTTAAAAATTGAATCACAAAATCTTTATGACTTTCATCTGACTCCATAATTTTCCATGTCCCATGATTTAAAGCCACTGCCTCTATCCTAATGATTATTTTAGAAAAATAGCAATATTAACTGTTGCTCAGTGTGACTGAGGAAAATATTGAACTAAATGTCAGTATTATAGAAAAAGAAATGTCAAGTTGATTGAGTTACTTTTACAAAAAAGTCAACGTAGTTCTAAAGTGAAATCTACTGAAACTGTCTGCAAACATTTTTACTTTACTTTTAGACTTTAGATATAAGAGAATTGTCTGTGAGAATTGTATGTATTTTGACATAAGAGTGACCTTAACCTCTATTTTCCTCAACAAAAAAGAAACAGTAGAAAAAACATTATAGATATTACTTTGACTTTTTATTATTGAAATACTCTTCAGTTTAGAGACTTCCGATTGAATTTGGTTATAGTCAAGGCTGTTCTACACAGTAATCTATTGAAACTGTCACCAATACAGTTAATCTGAGACTGAAAATAAAAGGCTGAATGTTTTACAATGCATTTTGATGCATGAAGTGATCTTATCTCTTTTTTTTTCTCAAACTATACAGTAAAAATAGTCAGATGTTTCATTGCAGTTTAAGTCAGTGTATGATTGGCCGGTTTGTCCTTCAGTCCTTACAGAGGATTTAAAATACTAAAATACTTCTCTATCTCTCCCTGCCTCACTTTCAATTTCCACATCTCTTACTTTTCCCTCCCTCATCATCTCCTCCTACGTCTTTTATCAACAATCTTCTCTTCTTTTCTCTATCCTACTTTCTCCTCCCTCTGGCACTCCCACTCACTGTTTTCCTCTTTCTCCCTATTTCCCTGCCCTTCTATCCTCGCTCACCCTCCCCTGTTCCCCTTCCTCCCACCATCCCTTTTCCTCCCCCTCATCTCTCCCATCAGGACTTGGAGGAGCGTCTCCGCCATCATCACCATGCAGAGCTGCAGTCTCTCAGAGAGGCTCACCGCCAGAGCATCGAGACTCTCAAACAGCAGTCAGAACAAGAGCTGCAAACACTCCGCTTTGAACTGGAGGACGAGGGCAAAGCCATGCTGGGTACGGTCTTAGAGTGTGTGTGTGTGTGTGTGTGGTTTGTATGTGTGTGTGGGTACACACATTAAAAAGATTCCCCCTCCCATTACCTTTTGACACATTTCCTTGTTCCATAAAATTATTTAGGAATGCACCGATTTAGGGCACCGTGAATATTCTGAGAAGTAAAAGTATCCTTTCATGTAGTAATAGTGATTACTTCAAAATGCCCAAGTACAAATTTTGCAATGTCACCATACCTGTCTTTGCATAACACATGGCTGGTTTCTTATATAAATATAATTATAAATTGAATTAATTATAAGTATAATTCTTGGTGTTTTTTATTAATAAAACTGACCCTTACTTTACATATTTTAGAGGCTAAATGACCTAATAGGTGCAATAAATTGTACCCATCAAAGTATGTCCACAAAAAGTGCTTGTTTTGCTGTTATCCATGCTTTCATGTGCTTGGTTCATGAGTGCTCCTGGCTGTTGGAGTCACATGAGGCCAAGTCTGAACAATTGTTCAATCTCAAAAAAAGCATTGTAGGTGGGGGAAAAGTGGTGTCTTAGCCCTCCTCCCCTTTTGAGAAATGGTGTCTGTATCCATCACCCTGATAACGACCCCACAGATGTTAAGGCCGCATCCACACTAATGCATTTTCGGCGAAAACGAAGACCTAAAATGGAGGAGTTTCAAAATGCTGCCGACCCCGTTTGTAGGTTTAAAACTCCGGAGGGCAATGATGCAGACGCTCAAGTTTGGCTCTCTGATTGGGTCTTATTAGTCATGCAAAGCAGAAACACAAATAACACTTATAGCCTACACTTGTACTGTGTATGTCGCCATAATTACTTTGTAACGCCTCCCAGTCTGTTTTCCGCCGCCACAGCCGCTTTTAACTCCCGTGTTGCATTCAGTAACAGTCCCAGCTCGTTATTGGTCCATGACAAAAAATATCTCGTGCCGTTCTTCGTCTGTAGTACTTTATTCTTTTGCCAAATCTTCTGTAACTACGGAAGGGAGAGACCATCTGCTTCATGTTTACACCGCCACGCGCATGCCCAGTGTACGTGAACGGCCACTAGATGCGTGCTTTCAGTCGTTTTAATATAGACGGACATCAACTCTGATACGCAGCTAAAACGCTGGTGTGGACGGAGATCATATTCGTATTAAAACTGTGTGGATGGGGCATAAATAGCTGGGATTCTGATTCAGTCAGAACTGAAGAAGCCTCTTGAATGAGAGGTGAAACGGCTTCAACAAAGTCCAGTTGCCCTTGATTTTAAACCACCTTGGACAACTATGACCTGTATGACAGAGAATCTTCACAGACATATTGTAGTTAATATGCAATTTTATATTACAAATCCCTTAAAAGCTTATCGGGTCAACAACTCCACTCAACATTGCAGATGGGGCACTGCATTATTATGGTCAAATTCTCACATTTGCTCACATTGACATTTTACATCATGGACAATTCTAATACACTGAACTTCAGACAAAACTAGAATGGATTGAATACGCACATTCTTTGATTCATGTGGCTGGCACTGTCACTTTAAAAATACTAAATGGTGCAATCATAATGTAATGTAGGAACAACACTTACATAAATACCTAGTAGACTGTTTGTGAAGTACAATGAGAAAATCATCGGAAAGTCAAAGAGAGACCAACACAACTGGAAAGTGAAGTAAAATCTCAGCTTTAGCCAGTTTTTAGTGCACACACCAGTACTGTGCTGTGAAAAATTGTCTCCCATTAACCTTCATGTCATGGTCCTGACACTGGAGAGCTGCATCCATCTATCTCTCACTTCCCACATCCTGACATCCTTTTATTGCCTTTTTTCCGTTTATCTCTCTCCCACTCTGCTTCTTTCATCTTCTCCTTGTTGGAATCTGTTAGAGACGTGTGTGCTCAGTTGGGAGTGTATGTGTGAATCCTGGGTCTTTTTCTACATATTTTCATGATTTAAAAAAACTGCGGTGATCAGTCAGAAATAAGCTTTCACTGCTGTATTTCTTTATTCTGATATTTTCAATTGGTCTTTCATTCAAATAAAAAGCTAATAGCAGCATGTGGTCCCCCTCTATACATCTTCAAACCATTAGACTGTTTGCAATGAAAGGTGTTCATTGGAGTGGGGATTAAAGGCCACTTGGGTGAAGGCAGGCAAAGCACTATGCTTTATGTGCAAAATAAAAAAATACTTTTTATTTATTTTGTCATAAAAATGCCTTTGCAGCTAATGAGCACTTTTTGCAAGCAGACTAAACGGTGGAGGAGGCTTTTTTTCAACAAAGACATAAAATCCCTGAATCTAACATGTGCAAACACACTTTGTCTCCTCATGTGTGATATGTTCTGTACAAATAAAATATGATTCTTCCATCACACCTTGCCCATCAGCCTCTCTGCGATCAGAGTTGAACCACATCCACGCATCGGCCATCGAACACCTGAGACAAACCCACCAACAGGAGTTAGCTGCTGCCAAGATGGAGCTGGAGAAAACACTGGAGAACAACCGGACACAGGTAGGACCAGTTAATCATGGAAGGATCTATACATGTTAAAGACTGTCTGAACTGCCTGTTTAATGAATACAAATCAAAACTTCACAGCTGTCTCCACAAAAACTCATTAGTTGATTATAATAACAACAACATTTGTGGGCTCAACACCAGCTTTATGTTTTTGTTGGCACATGGAAGCAAAGCAAAAAAAAAAAAACTCTGTAGTCTCTAGTTCTCTTTCTTTCATGACCGGAGTGAAGATTGTGCGACTAGAATAAATAAAATAATAAATGCACAATGTGTAGACACCTCTGAATAGGCTTTCACACTATTAAACACATTCACCCACAGTCTCCAAGGAAGCTATTGTAGTGAGAAAACCAGAAGGAGACTCATATCTGTATTATACACATGCAGAAGTTACTGATAAGATATTTAGAAAGCTGTTTGTAATGCCAATATGTTTGGAATAAAGCTGCTGACAGCTGATTAATAAGATTTCAATCCTGGTTTATTTAGTGACTCCCATGGTAACAGTGATGGTAACAGCGAGTTAATACTTTAGGTCCTACCCTGTGGCCAGCAAACACTCGTTGAGCAGATACTTTTTTAGAAATACAACAGAGGAGCGTCTGGTCAATCTGTTTACACAGTCTGATTTCGATGTCACAGTACAGTGCAAGTAGCTTTCCGCACAGCAGCAGAGGACAGTAAAGTTTGTTGTTGCCTGCAGCTCCTCATCTCACAGCTCACTGTGGCTGTTCTTGTTGTTGCATTTCTGCCTGTAATATTTCAAACTGACCTCCTGTCAAAAAACTGCTGAAAATAACTGTTGGCTTGTTTTGTAAATGCATTTATGAACAATCACACCAACCGTGGTTTCCTTTGACTATTTCACAATAAAAGCCATCCCATGCTTTTACTTTGAAGCAGCAGTAGGAACAACTAACAATTAAAGAGGTCATATTATGCTTTTAGGCTTTTGGCCAAGGGAGTTCCCATCTCCCACAGAAAACTCTGCTCTGAACTGCCTGAAAACAGCTTGTTTGTGGTCCAGTCTTTTCTTCTGCTTTCTTGTGACGTCACAAGAAAATACGCCTCATAATGCTCACCTAGCATCTAGTCTGACATGCCCTAAAAAACACAGGTGGAAAAACACACTGATCTGCAGCACACAGTGACAAGACGTCCACCTGCTGCTCCTCTCCCTTCCAAACACTAGCTACCCTCCAGGCAGTCAATGGACATAAAGTTGTTACTGTGATGTAGAGACAGAGCTCAGTTAAAACTTTATGGATATTTGTTTTTACAGATTAATAACTCACCACTCTGAAACTCTTGCTCTAGTCCATGTTGCTATGCTGGTTGTACATACAGCTGAATCAAAGCTGTTTACCGGCTTCTCACTGACCCGCCCATCTCTGCTTCTTATTGGCTAGTAGTCCTTAACTAGGAACTGCGCATGTGCAACTCCCAACAAAGATCTTGTAGATGTATCACTCCATAGCTAAAACGAAGGCTTCAACACACAGGGTGAAAAGAGGAGCTGCAGCAATGTACTGCTGCAAATACTGTTTGATTATATAAAAATCGTCAGGATTATAACTTTTCAGTTTTTATAGTTCGCCAGAGGTGAAGCTGAAGCGTTTAGTCGATTAGTGCTTAATAGTTGATCAATCAAGTTCTGACCATCAAAAACTGATCTTTGAAGATTGGACTGACAAAACAAGCCATGTGAGAACAACATCTTGTACTTTTGGCAGTGTTTACTATTTTTTGACATTTTAAAAGCTGAATTCAAGTCGAGGCAAGTTTATTTGTATTGCACATTTCAACAACATGGCAATTCAAAGTTTTGAGTTAAATAGATAATAAAAACCGGACAGTAGAAATTACAGGACAAGTAATATGTCACTAGATTTTTAGATTTTCGGGGTTTTTACAATTTGTCAGCAGTCAAACAGAAATTAAATGGGGATGACGACTATGTGAGATGATGTAGCCACACATAACACCTGCCGCCGGCTCACAAACACACACACCACCTGGCAGGCTACCCTCTTACCATCTCTTGTAAATCATACTAATTACCGCAAACACTATGGGTCCCTCTGCCATCACCTTGTGATACAGATGTTGTAGCAGTGCACAGCTGGTTGTCTCTAATACCCCCCACATTAAACCATCAGTCCCTCTCATCTTTTGTTGCCAAGGCAACAGGGAGTGAATTGAGTGTTACAGTCTGAACTTTCTGTCAGTCATAAAGCCGTAGCAAATACAGTGTCTACACTGTATGAGTTCAGATTTCTGCAGTAGACAAAGTAAATCTACTTGGACCCCCAAGTAGATTCACATTGAGTCACATACCCTGACTGAGTCAGATTTGTTCCCAGGCACATGTGTAACAAGATTTGAGTTGTTTATTTAGTTTAAACATGTAATTGTGTAGTCTATGAAGATTCTCAGTCATCCGGGTCATAGTTATCCAACGAAGGTTAAAATCAAGGGCAACTGGACTTGGTTGAAGATACTGGAAGACGTTTCGTCCCTCATCCAAAGGACTTCTTCAGTTCTGACTGACTGGCAGGGAAACTCAGCTATTTAACCTCAGTGGGGTCGTTGGCCCGGGTCATCGATACCGCTGGTTCGTTAGTGTTCCTGGTTGCTGTGACAACAGTCGTTATAGTCGTTAAGACTACCTGTGGCCAAGACTGAACGACCATCGTTGGCATCTTCACCTGAGGCCAAGAGGTTACGTTTGTTGAGTTTCCTGGGAAGTGATGAAGGACAGCATTGTAAGTGGGGGATAAGTGGTGGCGTAGACCCCCTCCTCTGTTCAATGACGACTTCTCGACCCTGGTGTAGATGCTTCCTTGACACCTCTTTCAAACCATCCATCTTCTCTGTCTAAAATGTGCACCTGGTGGTCCTCAAACGAGCGTCCTCTGTCCTTCAGATGTAAGTAGACTGCAGAGTCTTGACCTGAGGAGTTGGCCCTTCTGTGTTGAGCCATGCGTTTGTGTAGTGGTTGTTTAGTCTCCCCAATATACAGGTCTGTGCATTCCTCACTGCATTGGACCGCATACACTAGATTGCTTTTCTTGTGTTTGGGTGTGCGGTCTTTGGGGTGTACCAGCATCTGTCTTAGTGTGTTCTTGGGTTTAAAAAACACAGGGATGTTTGTTTGTTGAAAATCCTCCTGAGTTTCTCTGATACTCCAGACACGTATGGAATCACAATGTTGTTGCGTTTGACCTTCTTTTCTTCATCCCCTGTAGTTTTGTTCTTCTTGGATCTTGTGGCTGTTTTCACAAAGGTCCATTTAGGGTATCCACAGGCTGTAAGTGCCCCCTTCAGGTGGGGCTGTTCCTTCTCTCTGGCTTGGGCGCTTGTTGGTATGTTTTCCGCTCTGTGGTGCAGTGTTCTCATGACCCCTAGCTGGTGCTCCAGTGGGTGGTGTGAATCGAACAGTAGGTATCGGTCTGTGTGTGTGGGTTTTCTGTAAACACCAGTCTGCAGGCTCTTGTCCTCTTCAATGTGTACAGCGCAGTCCAGGAAGGCCAAACTGTTGTTGTGAACATCTTCTCATGTGAACTTGATATTACTGTCCACAGAGTTGATGTGTTCTGTGAAGGCTTGCACTTCCTTGTTTTAATTTTTTGTCGTCCACATATCTGTACCAGTGGCTCGGTGCTGTTCCTCTGAAGGAGTTGAGGGCTTTATTCTCCACTTCTTCCATGTAGATGTTTGCCACAATCGGGGAT